TGCCTAACGGGAGACAAAAAGCGACAAAGAAAAAATTTGCCCCGCCCGGGAGCTGATCTTAGGGCCGACAATTTTGGTTCGGATGAAGCTGCATGCGGTCATGTCGACTCTAGCTACTACTGTTTAGCTACAAAAGGGGCGTGTGGCTAGTGGCGTCGGACATCGTATGTTGCCCCAATTGTGACCACATTTTTGTGTCCATAAACAGGGACGTGTCTACTACCACTTGTCGCCGCGACACGAGTGGTCGCTTGGACGGACGCCTGCGAGGTAGGCCACGGCTTCTATCTAAGGTGTCTGTCGTGACGAGGACTTTGGGTTTAGGCTCCTTTTGACTCCAGGCCCACAAATCCTTTCTAAACCTAAGAAGTGACGCCGTGTCAACCTAGGCGTGGGTTGATGATTGTCGCTGAAAACGCCTGGAGGGTAGGCAATTATTTCCTGAATCGGGCCCCCGCCGCCCCCGGCCCCCTGTCCCTCCGAGCGCTTGGACGAGGCGAGAGCTTCGGAGACCCATTGACATCTTTCGCTTTCGCTTTAGTTCTTAGCGCAGTTTACTTCTGGTTGATATTCTAGCATTGGCGGAAGTAATGAATTCGTATAGAGACGGTTCAGTTTGAGCTGACTCGGGCACTGTCGGCTGTAGCTACAATCGTGTAGCTACAGACAGGGGCGTGCCTTCTACAACTAACCTTCCGAGTAGGCAACCCGCCTCCGCGCGTGCATGGCGGCGCTTGGCGGAGCATGGCGGTATAGCAAACATGGTCAGTGGGTCTCACTAGCACATGTGAGGGGTAGGTAAGGGGTCATCCAGGAAGTACGCCCGTCAACTGCCGAGTTTCGCAACTGCGAACGCTCCTAGCGCCTGTTAGATAGGCAACATCTTGTCTGCAGTGCATGCGTGTACTGCGGGGTTGCCTACCCCGAATCTCTCAGGCGACCCGCTCCCGTAATTCGCCGAATGAATCAGAAGAAAACGGACATGCTTTCTGGACGATCCCTTCGGGAAATAACAAATCACCCCCATTTCAAGTAAAGGGTAGAGGCGTACAATCTGGAGAACGCCTCTCGGTAAGGAGACTTCTCGACGGTGACGATGATCTGGGCCTCGCTGGGGAACAGCTCCATCTCGAACAGGTCGCACTTCTCGCTCTGGGTAAACTTCTCCTGGATCTCGTGGTACGCCTCGTTAAGTTCGGCCTAGAGGGCGGGTGGTAAAGCTCATCCGTTAATACACATTCGAAGTACCGTCGTTTCGGGCGACACCCAACTCGCTAAGGCAGACCTGGTACCCGTAGCCCCGGCCACGCACGAGCTCGATGCCCTCCCAAACCGGCAGGAAGGCGGGCCGCTCGTGGCTCTTGATCTTCTTCACGAAGATGTCCCCGACGACTCCGCGAGGGATCTTGGACGTCTCCCCCTGCGGGTCAAACAAGCAAGCGCACGCCTGCTGTAGTACACAAGATGATCCAGGGGAAAGGCAGCTCGTACATCATTCCTTACTCTGAACCAGGCGTGAATGAAGGCCACGTCCATGCCGCCGATCTTGAGGGGGGAGGCGAGCAGCTCTCGGGGCGAGCTCAGCGGCCGGGCCGGCGCCTGCAGCAGCGCAACGATGAACGCCGAGAAGGACGTGAAGAGGAAGAAGCTCAGGAGGAGCACGAACACCATCACGGTACGGCCAGACACCGTCTCGGGGGTCCTATCCGCGCCTAGAGCGGGCCTTCCCTTTAGCGCGACGAGCCTCGGCTCCCCGGGCGGTAGGCAGCCCCCCTGGCCCGCGGGCTCGGCGGGCTGGCCTGACCCTGCGCGCGCGCATGGACTCACCCTGCTGGCACAGGGCCCCGATCACGGACGTGAGGCACTCGTCCCAGCCGAGGGTGATGCGCGTCATCCAGGACCGCGTCGAGGCGACGAGCTGCACCACGCACACCATCGACACGGCGAAGGTGGCCAGCCACACGCCCCGGGAGAAGGGGCGCAGGTAGAGGTCGGCCGCCGAGTGGGACGAGCCAGACATCCGGTAAATGACGCCCGTCCTGGACCAGTCGGTTCAAAAACAACTTTTAGCTTTTACCGCTTTTACCGACACGGGTGACATGAACGCGGTTTAGCCTGCGGGCGAGCGAACAGATAGGTGGCTGCCGGCTGGGTCACCCAACTAAACCTCGCCCGCTTACCTCAGGGGGAAGGTCTCCGCCACCGAGTCCAGGACGTACAGCCGCTCGTCGGTGACGTACACGGCGGTGGAGAGCAGGTCGCACTCAAAGCGTTGCAGCTCGCCCATCAGCCCGTCGAACATGCCGTTGGCGTCCCTGTTGTAGCCGTAGTCCCACCGCTGGAACACGAGCATGCTACAGCACGAGAGAGAAATCATCATTACTATACCGAAAAAAAAGAGAAATAGAAACAATAATTGCAGAATCTTTGCTATACTTACTGGGCGTTCGCTTGTTCGGCCATGACCCTCACGACGGGGAAGTTTGTCTTCGGACGATAGTCCCGCTTCCGTTCCCGGAGATCATCGATGAAGGTGTAAAGTTCGGGGAAGTTTATCTGCCGGTCAGAGAACGATTCACGCTTCGTGCAGAGCAGGAGGAATTCTGCTGGGCGGCTCACAAGCGGTTAAGATTAAGAACTTGTTCACCGACGTTGCGTGAGCGGCAACGAGCCTTGTCGCAGCGGGGGAGGGGGGGGGGAGCTAAAACTCTAGTTCCCCCTCCTCCACCCCCACCCCACCCCCACTCACATTTTTACGAATTATGTCTACCGTTCCGTATCAAGATACACACCCTACCCCTACAACCCGGAACCGCCGGTCTGGTACTTCCCCCACTCTCGGAGCACACATTAGCAGTCCGCCACCTACCGCCCCCCGATTCAGCTCTGCTCTCGGCTGCTTTTTCTAATTGACTTATACTGTCTTGAATAGCACCCGACGATTCTCACAATGATAGGCGAGCGCAGCGTGGCGTTCTGCAGGTCTCCGCGCCGCCCCTGGACTGCCTTCTCCTCCTCCAGAGAGAGGGCCCACCTCCACTCCGCACCGCCCGCGGCGTTGGCGCACCCCACGGCAGCAAGGTACGCCTGTTGGAATCGAATACAAGTTGAATCAATTGCAAGAGAAAGCGGGTTAGCGAGAGAGGATGTCCAAGGTGTCCCATGTTTCACGGGAACTGGAGACACGCCGGTGTTTACAGGGGTGCCTACACTCGAAGGTGCCATTGGCCTATCACACCATACGGGCGGAGTGGGAGGCAAAGAGGCAAAATTGAAGTCTGTCTGTCTGGCTTCACCATCACCAACGTCCTCTCTGCTTCGTACCGGGTGCTTCGGAGCACACGTCCACGTCCGTGCGGGTTTGCCTACTCAAAAAGGCCACGGCGCCTTGAGGGCAGTGGGCGAAACCCGTTCGCGACACTTGGTTCACCAGAGCGGGAGGTTTCTCACTTGGATTTCGCGGGCCAGGCTAGACCGGAACATGACGAAGCCCTGAAGTTGACTGGGGCAGGCGTCGTTGCTGTCCGTTGACGAGTCGTTGGCCGCCGTGCCGCTCCCTCGCGCACCCCGCGCCTGCACCCAGAGCACGTCGCTGTCGCTCATCACCACCAGCCCGTCTAGCGCCCGCAGGGCGGCAGGCGACACCAGCGACACCTGCATCGGGAGATGTAAAGTGAGTCTGGGGAAAGAATACTTCTGTAATTTGCTGTTACGCGTGGTGGGGATACGTAGCAGTACGAATATGTTTCGAATATCGATATGGTCTCCGAACCAGCCACCAGGTTTGTGCGGAGAACCAATAGTGATGGTCCCCGGGAGTAGGCTTTCCCCGGTCTGGTTCCCCACGTAGTTCCGTAACCCGCCACTAGGGCGCGGTAGTGATCAGGTAGGCGGTCAGCTGTTATCTGTTACTTGTCTCTGAGCATCCGAGCAATAAACATCTACCTGCCAAACTCGTGTGTTACTCCGTACACCTCGCACATGGTGGCAGCGGGTTTT